AAAAAGGGAAAAGAAAAAAATGTGAGAGAATGAAAAGATGAAAATAAAGTGTTTGTAGATGGGGAGGGGAGGAGGGGGTGAAGGGAGGGCAGAGGTAAGGGGAAAAAATGAGAATCAAGACTTGCCATGTAAAGGTACATGATCCCAACAATGAATGTAACTGTAGTGTATCCCTAAAATGTACCAATAAACTCAATAAAATTAAAAAAAAAAAAAAAGAAAATTTTGCAGGATACAGCAAGCTAGGTTGGAGGTTATTTTCTTTTAGGGCTTGAAATACTTCACTCCAGGCTCTCATTGACTTGAGGGTTTGTGTTGAAAAGTCTGCTGTGATTCTGATGGGTTTTCTTTTGCATGTGATTTGTTTCTTTTCTCTTAACTGCTTGTAGTATTTTGTTCTTCTGTTGGGTCTCTGGGATCTTGACCATTATATGTGTAGGTGTAGTTTTTTGTTGTTGTTATTTTTTGATCATGGCTAGTTGCAGTCCTGTATGACTCACTTATCTGTATATCATTTTCTTTTTCTCTACTTGGGAAGTTTTCTGCCATTACTTCTGTGAACAGTTTGTTTTTTAAATGTCATTTGTACTTTCTCCTGTTTTTTTGCGAACTGCTCTGCTCTCAGTCTTATGTTACCCTTCTTTGCATAATCTAGCAGCTGCTAGATTGATTTCTCATCATGCCTTAACTACTTTTAAGAAATCTTTCTTTTCGTGGTCACTAACCACAATTCTGTCTTCTATATCAGATATTCTATCTTCACACCACTCCCTCTGCTGGAAATACTGTCAGTGGAGTGTTTAATCTTCTGAATATCTGTTTGAACCTCTTCCATGGATCCCATTTCTTTCCTGTGTTGGGTGTTCGTGGTTTCCACTTCTTTCCTGTGCTGCATATTCATGGCTTTTATCATGGTCCTGAGCTGTTCTATTTTTTTTTTTATCTGTTTCTGTTCTAGAGTCTCTAATCATATCTTTCATTCTGCTCAATCTGGGAAATTATTTGTTTTGAATTTTTCTAGAGCCTTGTTCAGTCTGTTTTGTTACTTCGTGTTGTATCAGTTCAGGGTGTCCATGTGGTTGATTCTCAGATTTTTCCACTTTGTTGCCCCCAGAATTTGCCTGTAGTAAGCTGGAAGTCTGGATTTGCTCCTTATTTAGGTGTCTTTTCATTTCTATTTTTGTTGTTGGTACTGTTTTGGGTTGAATTCTTTGGCTGATACTTCTGTACTTCTTATTGTGAGTATCTTTATTGCTTGTATGTAGAACCCTCATGGAATGATTGCTTCTTAGATGTGTCTTCCATGCATAGTTGGTCTCTACGCTTTGAGTCTGTAATGACTCTTAGGCAATCGCATTTTCAGTATATCAAGGAGGACAACTGATTAGATCAATCATGACACCTTAGCCCAAGTGATACAGTCAACATCAACGATAGCATCAGACACAGCTTAAAAAATGACAATTTGTGGAAGCTGTTAATCTGTCACCTTTAACCCTGCAAACTAGATCAAAATCAAGGAACAGCCCAAAATGTGTTTGTAGTAAATAAACTCTTCAATATAGCAACTCTACTCTTTGGGATGAGGACTTAGAAGGAGTTAGAGAGGGAGGGATTATAGAGCTAGAAGGAGAGGCAGAGGTTAGAAGTGAGGCTAGAGGACAGAAAAAGATCACACAAATTTTGGGAAACTTGAAGACAAGAGGAAAAGATAGAGTGAAGGAATAAAGAAAAGAACAGAACACACTAACAGCAATAAGGAAGCTATAAACTGTATTCACCTTCCATAAGAATAATGACAGTTGAGAGAAGAAAAGAGAGAAATACCATCCGAAATAGGACAAGAACAAAGAGGGAGAGAAATGAAGAAGGGGGGGGGGAGAGAGAGAGAGAGAGGGAGAGAGTAGAGAGAGAGAGGAAAAGAAAAGAAAAAATATATAAATTAAAAAAAAAGGGTGGCCTCTTTCAGAGTATGTCTCTGCTTTCGTGGTAGACAGTGTGGGGCATCAGTGCAGATCTAAACTGATTAATCTCAGCAAGCCAGCTGTAGTCTACTGAGCTTCAGGCTGATTTCGGGCTGCAATGTCCAATTTGAGGTCTCTGACCTTCTGCGGGATTGAACTCTGCAAGGTTCTACTGCAGGTTCCAGCTTCCCTACACCCAAGTTGAGTCCAGGTTTCTATGGGAGGTGCTGATCCCACCAACTTAACCAAGTACAGTGGTCCAGTGTGTCTTTATCACAGAGATTTTCTTCACTTTCCCAGTAGGCTCCAATTTCCATTGAGGAGCCTCAGAGGCTATGTGGTCTGGGGGGTGGAGCTGGCCTCCACACTAGAGTTTTGGGGCAGCAGGGTGGGTGCTGGCCTCCGAACATGGATTCAGGGAAGCGAGGAAGTGCTCCCATCCCCTTTCCTCATTGAGTTTATTGGTACATTTTAGGTATACAGTACAGTTACATTCATGATTGCTATCTTGTACGTTTACATGACAGGTCTTGGTTCTCATTTTTCCCCCTGTCCCTGCCCTCCCTTCATCCCTTCCTCTCCTTCCCATTTACAAACACTTTATATCCATTTTTTCATTTTGTCATTTTTTTTCTTTTCCCTTATTACCTTTCCCCTACCCTTTCCATTTTCCCTACACCTTTAGCCCATTTCTTCATATTTCACATGGTCGTTTATCTCATTAGGATCTTATGTACTATTATAGCTTTTCACACCAGAGAAACTATTCAGTATTTACACATGTGTGACTTATTTATTTCACTTAGCAGTGTATACTCAATATGTATCCATTTTTCTATGAATGAATCTCATTTCTCATTCTTTGTGGCTGAGTAGTATTCCATTTTATAGAAAAAACACATCTTCTTTATCCATTCTCCAACTGATGGGCAAATAGGCTGTATCCAGGTTTTAGCTATTACAAACTGTGCCTCTCTAAACATAGGTGCACATATATCACTGTGATATGATTCTTTTTAATTCTTTTGGAAAGACACCCAGCAGAGGGATGACCGGGTCAAATGGAACCTCTAATCCCAGCTCTTTGAGGTATCTCCATATTGATTTCCATAGTGGTTGCTCCAGTTTGGAAGTACTTTTTTTTTTTACTTAATGCTTCCTGACTTCCTTCCTTCTCCCCTCCTTTCTTGTGGAAAACCCGAAATATATTAAAGTTTACTTTTTCATTGAGCAAAGATTTGAAAATAAAGTGGGTTGCATGGTGTTCCTAATTAATAATTTCAAAATATTAGCCTCATTTTCCTTCTTTTTATTCTTTAATGTTTTCAAACTGTTCTAGAAAAAGAAACTGTATGAGAAACTCAAAGTCCATTTCTTTTAATGCTTGGAGAATTGAAGTTAAGTAATACGTTTTAATAATTTGCTATATTTTCTAATTTTTTTCATAGTTAATATCTCTATTCTAAAATATTGTTAGACTTTTATATTAAAATCTAGGAAGACCATATGTGGTGATGATAAGATAGTAAAAATCTTTGAAACTCATTATTTGGTCAAGTGTCTGCCTCATTAATCCACCACAGTCCAAGTGAGAGTATAACTCAGAGCCCTCTAGCAGTTACACGAGTGTATTGAGAGATGCAGTAGAGATACTTCCTCTGCCTGTCCGGAGCCTCTCGACATCAGACATGAGCTGTCTTTATTTTTTTTGAGTGATTTATAAGAATTCTGCACATTACAAAAAGCAGGAAATAGTGGCCAGAGATGTAGGTCAGCACAGTGCCTGTCTTAACATGTGTAAAAGTTCTGGGTTCAATTCCTATTTCAACAGTAAATCAAATAAGAGAGGGGAAAGTGGTGGGGAGACATCTTTACATAAAATAGCAATATATATTAAATTAAAAGAATGAAAAATATATTTCTGAAGTAAAAAAAACTATTGTTTTAGAAAAATAAATAAATTCAAATAAAATGTAAATAAGTAAGATTAAAAGTAATATTCTGTCCATTGCTAACATCCTGTCCTTTTATATTATTTTTTGTGTGTTTCAGAAAAATGATATAATGTTTATAGCCTACTTAAAAACGCAGAATTAAAGGTCTTTTTATGCCAGATGTCAGCAGGCACCTCCCTGAGAGTCTGCCTTAGTGGTATCTGCTCTTGTTCCCCAACCAATTTCTTCATTTCTAAAGCAAACTTCTAAGCAGGAATTTCTGGTCGGAAGAAGGTGGTGAGAGAACAAGGCCAGTTGATGAGTAAATTCATATATACCTTATACAATTCCTAATCAATTATGCATAAACTACTGCTTATATAAAATTATGCAGAGTAAATATCCTTTAATTTGATGAATTTTCTGCTGAATGTGCAAAAAAGATTTGAGTTTAACACTTCAAGGAAAAATAGTTGTAAGTGTACACAACTCAACTTTAAAATCACAAATTACTGTTATGAAGTGCTTTCTTGCCTTTTCAACACGTTCCTGACAAGGCTGTAACTGGTATGTCTTGCTGTCAGGTGGGCTTGATCCACCAGTGATAACATTCAGGACTCTCCCACGGGTGGCTTTTTATTAATTAGAAGAACAAAAAAAGTTATTAGATCCATTTGTACCACCAGTGGTACAAGCTGCCTGATGGGACAGTCATGCACATACCACTGGTGGTTCAAGTTGGCCGGAATGTAGTACGTTTTATTGATTGACTGGTTTTTTGAGACCAGGTCTCTCTGTATGGTTCACTCTGGCCTTGGGCTCACTGTGTAGCCCAGGCTGGCTTTGAAATCACTGCAGTCCTCTTGCCTGAACCTCTTGGGCACTGGAATGACAGTCACGCATCACTGTGCACAGCCTATTTTAAATTTATCAAACAAAAGGCCTAATGGGAATTCATAGAATATTTTTCTCCTAATGAAGGGCATTCTTGAAGAAATGTACTATTTTAAACATGTTAATCTGATTCTATTATTTTAGAGCTTTTTTAATGACATCGAGAATTGACAGATGAAATATGTTACTATCCCCCCCTTTCTTTCAGGTGGCTATCATCCAGTGAAAATTGGAGACCTCTTTAATGGTCGATATCATGTCATTAGAAAGCTAGGATGGGGGCACTTCTCTACTGTCTGGCTGTGCTGGGATATGCAGTAAGTATTCTTTGTCATTGCTGTGCTTGATTCTGATATAGTTATAGTTCATCATCTATTTCCTAAGGAGATATTCCTCAGAATCATCATGGCACATAGCTGCTTAGGTATGCCTACCTCAACTAAATTTTTCCCCCCTTTTACTTTCAAGTTTATTTGCTTAGGTATTTAAAAATATGAACTCTCTTAGGGTTGGTCTGTCTGTCTTTCTTTTCCTTCCTTCCTTCCTTCCTTCCTTCCTTTCTTTCTTTCTTTCTTTCTTTCTTTCTTTCATATAGGGTCTTGCTATGTAGTTCAGGCTGGTCTTAAACTCATGGTGATCCTCCTGACTCAGCCTCCTGAGTGCTGGATTTATTTCTTAATATTATTTCTTGAAATTTCTTTTCATGAGGATAATTTTTTTTTAGTAGTTCGTGTCATAAAAACATTCAGCAGTTGGAAACTGAATAAAGAAGATGTGGTTTTTCTATAAAATGGAATACTACTCAGCCATAAAGAATAAGCAATTAGATTCATTCATAGGAAAATGGATACATATTGAGGATATACTCCTAAGTGAAATAAATAAGTCACATGTGTAAATACCGAATAGTTTCTCTGGTATGAAAAACCATAATAATACATAAGATCCTAATGAGATAATAAAAAAGGGCTAGAGGTGTAGGGAAAGTGGGAAGGGTAGGGGAAAGGTAATAAGGGAAAAGAAAAAAATATGGAAAAAAAGTGTTTGTAAATGGGGAGGGGAGGAGGGGGTGAAGGGAGGGCAGGGACAAGGGGAAAAAATGAGAACCAAGACCTGTCATGTAAAGGTACAAGATCCCAATGATGAATGTAACTGTACTTTATACCTAAAATGTACCAATAAACTCAATGAGGAAAAAAAAAAAAGCCAGATTAAAATCATTAATAGCTTTTCCAAATCAGTGTTCTGTGATGTTCTTTAAAAGCTGTGACCCATAGTAATAAACACCTTGCTGCTCAGTACATATATACATGTGTATTTGTGTGATGCATGAATAGAAACAAGTGTTAGAATACTTTTCCTTTCTCTGCGTGGTAACTCAGACACATTTATACTCTTATTTATTAGAATGAAGTCAAAATAACAAAGAGAGTGTCTTGCCCCGTGGACACTGTGTTTTAAATTATGATTCCCATATTTGAAAAGTAATATTTCACAGGAAAACTTAAGTCTCTGTTCATTGCATAGACTTCATTATAGCATCGCTTTTTTGGCTAGTGATATAAGTAACTATGCCTCTTTTTTTTTTTTTTTTTTTTTTTTTTTTTTTAAAGGGGGAAAAGATTTGTTGCAATGAAAGTTGTAAAAAGTGCCCAGCATTACACAGAGACAGCCTTGGATGAAATAAAATTGCTCAAATGTGTAAGTACTACAAAAAATGTTAATGAATGCTATAAGGAAAATAAATGACTGATTTTATAGAGGACTTTTTTGGGTAATATTAAAATAAAGCAGAAGGGCTGTGGATTTAGCTCAAGCACCACACCTGCCTCACAAGCACAAGGTCCTGAGTTCAATCCCCAGAACCCAAAAAAAGAATTTTTATAGGTTTTCATGCTAAATCTTCTATTTGAAAACTACCACTTTGTGGATTGGTGTAAGAGAAAAGATTCTGCATTTTAAATTCCTCTGATCCTGTATTCATTTTTCTTTGCATAGGTTCGAGAAAGTGATCCCAGTGACCCGAACAAAGACATGGTGGTCCAGCTCATTGATGACTTCAAGATTTCAGGCATGAATGGAATACGTATCCTTCTGGATGGCTGAATTGTAGTGTATTTTCTTTCTACTTTAAACAACAAACAAGAGTATGTATTTATTTGGTACTGGGGATCAAACTCGGGACCTTGCGCTTACAAGACAGGTGGCAGATCCACTGAACTAAATCCCCGGCCCCAAACAAGATTATTTAAAGCTTCTGTAGCCATCTATATCCCCTTTACATAAGGCTTCTAGGAGCATTAAGAAGTCTTATAAAATAGGACACCTAGAGTAGCTTGATTTTGGGTGGAATTAATTATTGATCTTTTGTCAGTAATGAAGATGAAGCTTGTGCCATGGAGGTAGAAATGTATGCCAGTACATCTCTGTGCTTTAAACTTTTTAAAACCAGTGCACAAGGGCAATGTGGCTTTAAATATGTAGGAGGTAATGTATTTGTTGACTGAATAAAAGGAAAAATGCTCTGTTAATGCTGACTTACCCAAATTGCACTTCAAGTACTGTTAGTACTGACTAGTCCTAATAACTCTGCATTCTATTTCCAGGGTATTACAACTGAGTCTTTTAAATAAAAGTGTGCTACTGAGGGTCATCTTCTGCTAAGTGAGTGCTGAAATCCAGGTCCCCATCCCAAGCCGTGCCTGTGTGCGTGCGTGCGTGTGCGTGCGTGTGTGTGTGTGTGTGTGTGTGTGTGTGTATGTGCAGGAATGCTCATGCACACCCTTGCTGCAGTGCTAGAGAAGGGAAGCCTCAAGCATAGCATTTTAGGTAGGTATTCTTCCCCTGAGCCACACTACTTACCAAATTCAAAACTTATGATGATATGGTTACAGCTCTCTATTCTTTCTCTTTTGTTGAATTATTATAAAAGAAATCCTAGATGTCATGTTCTTCTACCTATGCAGATGTCAGTGTACATCTTGAAAAACTGTGGATTTTTACTTTAGTGACTTCAGGAATCAAGCCTGGGTACCCTCTATCACTGAGCTATGCCCTAGCCTTTGTTATCTTTTAAGACAGGGTAGCCCATGCTGATCTCAAATTTGCAATCTTATGTTAGTCTATAGTAGAGTAATAAAAAAAACTCATAAAATTAATAATACATTGATGTCCTATCACACTTCATTTTCTTAATCACAAAACTGACTTTTTAAAAGAATAGAATCACATTTCAGAAAATATTTTTATCAGTCCTCTTCCTCCTAAGTCTGTATAAACTCAACTTTGTATAATTTGATTAAATTATTTAATTTACATATTTGCTCTTTTTTAATGAAATTGGTCATGAGTTTTTTTATTTCACTTTTAGCTTTCTTGGTTTTTGGGACAGGGTCTCACTATGTAGTTCAGGCTAGCGTTAAACTCACTATGTAGCCCCTGCTGGCCTTGAACTCACAGTGATCCTCCTGCCCCAGCTGTCTGAGAACTGGAATTACAGGTGTGCACCACCATGGCAAGCTTTTTTTGGTGTTTTGAGATAGGATTTCTCTATGTAGTTCAGGCTTCCCTTCAACTCTCTATGTATCCCAGACTGGCCTCAAACTCACAGCGATCTTCCTGCCTTACCCTCCTGAGTGCTGGCCTTACAAATGTGCACCACAATGCCTGGCTTATCTTTATTCTTTTTCTGTTGGAATATGATATTGTTTGCTTTGTCAAAAAAATTATTCTAACAGAAATTAATGATTTTTTGAAAGATGAGTTTCTTGGTCAGCTACAAGCTTAGGTGCTTGGCTTGCCTTTACAAAAATAGCCTTAGTCCTGACTTTAGGTCCTATTGTAAAAGAAATGTGTCTAGCTGAAAGAGAGCCGAAGCATCTCATGACTTTCTCTTATCCTTCCCCTTCCTCTGCCTGAGCAGTTGACAAAGGGTAACCCCAAAGGGCAAACAAGAGAGAGTATCCCAGGACATAAAGCTTATAGCTGAGAGCACAAATGGAGAGTAGAGATAATGTCTGTAATTTTCAAAATATCCTGTGCATATATATGTCCATGCTGAAGCTCTTTATGCATGGGCCTTCACATACCTCTTTTGAGATTGATTCTAGATCCTTTGAATGCCATGTCACCCCTATCTCAGTGGTGTAAAAGCTGACTTTTAAAAATGTTTAAAGAATTCTAGATTCCTGAGTTTTCATTATTACAGTATCTGCTCAGGCTGTGCTGAGAGGTGTGTGTGGAGAGGGGTGGGAGTGTAGCTCAGTATGGGTTGGGATTTGCCTTGGCCACCGGTGCACTCTCTGAGGCGTACTCTCCTTGCTTCCACAGTGGGGGTCCTTATATATTTCCTAAAGTGACTTTTAAAATAATATGTGGGATGTAGTAAGTACTTAGTAAAAAACATCAGTTCTTTTTAATTAGGTGAGATATAACAAGTGACTACTTTTGAATAGTATTGATAGTATTGATAACAGTTTTTTACAAACAAATAAATTATTGCAAGTGATGCACATGGTGTTACTTTTAGTTTGTGCCTCATTCCCAGAAATGCATCCACAAATGATCCTTAACCCAGTCCCAGATGTGTGCATGGTCTTCGAAGTGCTTGGCCACCATCTCCTCAAGTGGATTATCAAGTCCAACTATCAGGGCCTCCCAGTACGTTGTGTGAAGAGTATCATTCGACAGGTAAGGTTTCTGAGGCAGCCCCCCACCCCCATTTACCCTATTGGCTAGCCTTTCCTGTGGATCTGTGTGGACACGAATGTCTAACATTTTGAACTAAATCAGCTTTATACTTATTTAATGGCGTGTTATGCCATCTTGGAGAGGAAACAGTGTGAGTGTCAGGCACACATTTCTTTTGACATATCTGTCTTTTTTAAGATAATTGATGTGGTATACTCAGAAACTGTTATATCCCTTATACATAACTACAAAACATTCTTCTTAGTTTCTTAGAAACAATAAATAAATATAATAAATTGCTCATTTGTAATTATTTTCTTAGTAGCTTTGGATAGAGTGAAAATCAATGTTTTGAGTTGCTTACAGATTCAGTTTTATGGGGAATAAATTTAGAGGATCTAATTAATGGAATGGGGGTGACTGTAGTAATAATACTGTACTGTAAAACCAGATGTGGTGGTACACATTTCTAATCCCAGTACGTAGGAGGTTGAGATAGTAGGAGTGCTGCAAGTTCAAGGCCAGCCTGGACGGCTTACGTAGTGGGTTCAAGTCCAGTCTGAATTATATAATGAGACCTTGTCTCAAAAAGCAACAACAAAAACAAAAACTAAAAAAGAACCCCTGTAGTGTATACTCGAAATTTGCAGAAATCATGTTTTATCACAAATCCGCAAAAAATAACAAGATAGTTTAATTCATTTGCGGTAATCATTATACAATGTATAAATATATCACAACATCACACATGACACCGTAAATGTATTGTTTTTATTGTTTTAATTGTATCTCAGCGAAATAGGGGAACAAGCCTGGAATCATGGGAGGAGGGCTGCAGAGAGAAAGGCTCTCTGAATTGGCATCTATCAATCAGATTGAAATACATCTACATGAATTGAGGTTATACAGGGAGCATTGTATTAGATGTGTACTTTATTCAACTGCTTTACTGAAAAAAGGTCCTCACTGAGGGACTGGCTTAGGAAAGATGCTTCAGTAGGTGTTGGTAGCATGAAAATGTGCGTAGATGGGAGATACAGTTAGCAGTGTTTACCAGATTCAGTTTTGTGCATGAAATATGTATGTCTGAATTTCATTTATTTCCTGTATCTCCTCAATTAGGAAATTTGCAGAGATAATTTAATCTAGATTACCTGTAATGGTATAATGATTATCACAGACAATTTTGCAGAGTAATATGTCCAGGAAGTTGCTTGGTTTCCTTGAGAAGTTGGCTAGGAGGGTTAGGAGCCCTTCTCATACATTCCGGTCTAGAGCTTAGCTTGGACTAGGCCCATCTGAGGATTTCAGACAGGAAATTTAGACATTGGTCTAGAATATTTAAGTAGGTAAAGAATCACAATGGTTCACCTATAAAGATTTGTCAATTCAAAAGACAGGTGCCTAAAAATCAGCCTTCCTAACAAACTCATTGTATAAAAATTTCAAAGCTTAAATTTGCATAGTGAAAGCATCCTAGATTATATTTTTGAAATTGTGAGTAGATAACTTTCTTTAGCTTTCCTGTGTGTTTCTCAGTTATCTTTGTCCTTTTGTGCTGCACATTGGCAGCTTGTCCTCTGACATTACAGGTGTTACTTGAGGACAGGCTGGCTGTCCTGGCTTATCTCAGTTGGATTGAGATACTACTTCATGACATGCTTGGAGTATGTGCATGCTTATTGAACATGTGTAGTTTACATTAATAATACATCTGTTCCCTTTTAGATTTCAGGTATTTGCATTTTCATATCCATTCATTATTTTAACATAGGCTAATGTCTCCAGTAAAACAATAGTTTTAATGTAGAAGAGGATATGTAGTGAGATGAAATTAATATATTAATCGGTTATTCTATCCCCAGATGATTCTCATATATTTGTAGCTTTTAGTGGTAACTCTAAAACTCTTTGAAATATCATCTTGTTAAAACTTGACCATGTAATATTAAAGGGTTTACATATTCAGAGAAACATAGTTTAGGGGGCCAGGGATTTAGCTCGGTGGTTCCACCGCCTGCCTTGCAAGTCAAAGGCCCGAGATTGATCCCCGGTACCAAAACAAAACAAAAACCATAGTTTATAAGTAGCTGCCTGCATGCATTTCACACGGTCTCCCTCAGTCACCAGAGCCTATCTAAACCCACATTCAGCAGTGTCTGCTACTGCCGTAAGTGCTTGGCTACATCCCACCTTCAACATGGCAGTGCGGAAAGGTGAATTTACAGATGAACAGTTGGTGTTTATTACATTTGGAGAGTGGGAAAATAAAATCTAGCCATTCTTACTTAGCAAGTAAGGAGATGGTAATTCAAAAGATAGAATTCTGAGATTTTCATGGAACTTCTGAGTGTAAGTATTATCTTGACTGAATTCACATAGTCTATTCTTTGTGAGGGCTGAAGTTTTGATTGGTTCTGTAAGAATTTCACAAAGAAAAAAATAAGAATTTCACAGTGAAATTTTGATTTTGTCATATGGTCTACACTTTGTTCTTACGTGCCATGTTAATGGAATTTGTTTTGTTTTGGGGAGTGTGTGTACCCATGTATCCTTAAGGAAAATATGAAATGTGCACTTTTTTCTAAGCTTATTTAGAAATTTCATGTAATAAACTGTTACATATCTCAGCCAAAAATCTGCATACATGTGTTTCAACTTCATTCCTTTGATTCAGCCTGTTGGTTCAATATGTCTGACTCCTGAGTAGTACTGGGAAGATCTTTTATTGATAGACCTACACGATTATATAATTTCTCAGAACAAAGTAGGCCAGTTCTTTCAGTATTTTTCTGTATTGGCCATCTTCTCCTTCAAAACCAGGTGTACCTGACCACGAGTAATTGTCCATGTTGTCACTTGCCATTCATCACCAGGCACCCAACCATTGAACTCTTCTGTTTTGTGCTTTTTACTCTTAATGTTCTTTATGCTTTTAGGGTCACCATCCTTAGTTCAGGCCCAATCTCCTGCCAGTAGTTTTTCTTAGGAGTCTCTGTTCTCTCTGTGAGCAGCCAATTCTATTCCAGTTTTTTCTCTTTTCTATTGCCAGTTACCTTAAATAAATCATTGCTTTAATAATTCATTTTCTCCATTTAGAAACCTTTACTGGCTTTCCAACGCCTGTTTGCTAAAGCTTAATGTTACTGACCTTCTTCATGAAGCAGTATAGTGAGTGATGAAGAGCTTGGGTTTGAAGTCACAGTTACCCTGCTGGAGCCAAAGGATTTTGTCCATGTTGACTAAGCTCTGTAAGCCAAGATTTCATTGTCTATGAAGTGGAATTAACAGTGAGACCTTCCTCACTAGATTATTATGAACATATGAAGAGATACTACTATAGATACTATGGAATACTTACTCACTGCTTACTCTGTTCTAGGTATGGATTTGAATACTTGTCTGCCAGTTTATCTTTACTGTCAGTTTGACTGGATGTAGAGATTATTGAGGAAGTGATTGGATCTTGGGGTTTATGCTCATTGGTGGATTCATCCACTGATGTTCATAGCTGAATATGCTGTTAGTAGGTAGGCCTGGTTGGAGATAGGTCACTGGGGGTATGCCGTTAGAAGGTAGATCTATTGGGCTGGGGATTTAGCTCAGCGTTTCTGCCGCCTGCCTTGCAAGCACAAGGACCTGAGTTCGATCCCCGGTACCAAAAAAAAAAAAGAAGAAGGAGGAGGAGGAGGAGGGAGGAGGGAGGAGGGAGGAGGGAGATCTATTGCTGGCGTTGTCCCCTGCCTTTCTTCCTGGCTACCATGATTTGTGTAGCCTTGTCCCACGGTGTCCTTCCACTGTGCCATTTTTGCCTTGGAGCCAGCCAAGCATGAACTGAACCCTCTGAAACTGTGAGCCAAAATAAACTTCTCCATAAGTTGTGGATGTGTTGGGTATTTTGTCCCAGCAGTGGGAAAACAGCTTAACGTAGTTTACTTCACTGAAACTCACAATGTCTCTATAAAATAGGTATTATTAGTTTCCTGATTTTATGGAAGAGGAAACTGAGGAGAAGGCTAGGTAATTTGCCCCTAGTGAGGAAATAACTTAAGTACTGAATGCTGGAGAGGAATTGAAACCCAAATAGTGTAGCTTGAGAGCTCATCCATTCACTTTTTTTTTTTTGGCCAAACAGTATAGAATATGTTTGGAATGGTATTGGGCCTGTGTTCAGTAGAAGTTAAATCATTTCTTCCAGAGAACCCGTTTAAGGTCTTCTCACCTGGTTTCAGCCCAAATTTCCCTCACAGACAACCATTTATGTCCTTCAAGTACCCATTTCCCTTCTGAGTTTATGAATATTCACAGATGTGGCAAGCGGTCATAAGCACATACAAATTTACCAGAATTTTTATTCATAAGCTTTTACTTTTTCATTTTGTTTGTAGTTTGCAGAAAGTACTTAATGATGATCATCTTGATTCCTAAATGCACCTTTCCATTTTTTTATTTCCACAGTTTTTTTGGGGGGGGGTACCAGGGATCAAACTTGGGTCCTTGCACTTGTGAGGCATGCGGCAGCACTACTGAGCTAAATCCCTAGCCCTATTTCCACATCTTTGATAATTTTTTTTTCCTTGAGCTGTTGAAGGCACTTTTTTGTGATTCTGGTGATTGAACCCAGGGCCTTTGCACTGAGCTACATTTCTTTAAAAAAAAATTTTTTTTTTTTTTGGTACTGGGGATTGAACTCAGGTCCTTGCCTTTATGAAGCAGGCGATGAAACCACTGAGCTAAATCCCTGGCCCATTGTTTTTTTTTTAATTTTTTTTTTGGTATTGGGGATCAAACTCGGGTCCTTGTTAAAAATGTTTCATTTTAAGACAGTCTTTACCAAGTACTAGGTTGTCCAGGTTGGGGTCCAGTTTATGATCCTCTCCCATAACCCTGGGATGATGGGCATGTGTCACTTGACACCTGATTCTCATTTCTTCTGTACCCACATATTAAAGGTTCAACCAAAATCTTCTTTGACAGAGGCCACTTACTACCCCAGTAGA